ATCCTCGTTCTTTTTTTATAGCTCCGTAGACACACAGATACATATGTACATCCACATGGATGTACCAGCTCCTCACTAGACATTTGTGTTATTATTAATGTTTCACTGTTGGAAAAACAACAAAAACTTTGTATATGTTGTTTCTTATTTGTTGTGGTATATGTTCTAATTAGGATTTCTGAATTAAATGCATTTGCAATATTGTGAGACTGCACTAAATTTGCATTTCACAGTAATATGTGAATATAACCATCCACACAACCTCACCAAAGATCCTACTGTTAAGTTTTTGGATTTTCTCCCAATAGAAAAGAAACTGTGGCAGTTTTCATTTGCATTTTTTTTTAATGTGTGAAGCTATGTTTAAGGATCATCTGCATTCCTTTTCCTGGGACTTAACTATTTGTATCTTTGTTACCTATTTTTTGATTCACTTAATTCCTTAAATCAGCCTGTTTTAGGTCTTTATAATACTGTTTTTATGTTCAGGCCACTGATGGCTCTCCACACCAGCCTCCTGGTTGGTCTCCCTGCTCTGCACTTGCCTGTATCACAGTGTAGTCTCACAGAGCAGCTAATCTCATCTTTTTTCCAAAAAGAACCTATTCCTTTGAGTATAAAGCTCCAATGGTTTCCCATTACAACTAAAGTGCAAATTCTTTGTGAAGTTCAGTAGGCATACAAAGGCCTTTACCTACCATCTTCCTCCTGGCATCCCTTTCACTCTGCTGCAGCCACCCTGTGTCCTTCTGTCCTTTGTCAGAAGTCTGTTCCCATAGGAGAACTTCAAAGGGAGATATACCTCTGCATGGAAGCCTTTCCCTACCCCACATCACTTCCTCTCACTTTTAGGACAGTTTACACATCACGTAGGAAGAACTGCCATCTTTCACCAACTCATGTAAAACTGTCTTCTTCCTCAATTACCCTATTTTACTTTCAACCACTGGACTACCTGACATTCTTTATTATTCATGTATTATGTACCCTTACCTCCTTCTAGAATGTAAGGATCAGAGTAGGATGGGGGCTGTCTTATACCAGTGTTTGCCCTAAATCAAGAATACTACCTAGCCACTCAAAGGTACTCAAGAAACATGTTTCAGTATACCCCAAAGTAGTTCAGTTTCTCCCAGTTTTCTCCTGTCTTTTAAGATTTCTTCTAATGCTGTCCTTTGATTTGCCATCTAAGACCAGCATTATTTGCAGATTTCAGAGTGGTAGCTATTCAGCATTAAAGACATGAGACAGGCTACCAAGAACTACAAAAATCTAAAAGAGGAATTCTAATTACCAGTGAAAAGTCAATGGTACCTTCAATTTGGCATAAAAAAATTTCAATACTAAAATACCTTAACTACAAAATGACTCATCCTAACAGATTTAATTAAGTCATAAGACAAAACAAACCACCTGAATTCTACAGTAGGTAAATACAGTGCATCAGTCATCAAAATGTTTTTATATGTGTCCCCAACATCAAACATTGCATAGGACTGTATATGATTTTACTATAAAAGACGCCCAATTAAAGGACAAGTAAAAAATGATACTCCAACCAAAAAAAGACACAAGTAAGAACAATGTGCACTGGCATAGAAAGACATCCTGGAGTGCTCTTTGGGTACCAGCACTGTGCAGGAAATTTTGTGTTATTAGTTCAATGCTTTAAGTAAGTCATAAAGCAGCACATATAGAGTGGTCTCTATTATAAAATAAACAAAATCTTACATGTTTATAATAGGCTCAGGAAGAATCAACACCAAAATATTAATAATACTCTAGATAGTCTGAAAGTGAATCAGTGACTTGTATTTTCTAAATCACTTACAAACACTGACATTATTATATTAAAAAAGCAAAAGAAGAATTTGAAATAGCTACTGGAAAAAGGAAACATCTATTGCTCAGGTTGTTCTACATCCTCTTGCCAATTCTTTCCCTACTCTCACCCCTCAAGGAGGGGGAAGAAGGGATCAATGAGAAAGTACCTTAAGCCAGCTAGTTATTGAAGCTCCTAAACATATCCATATAGACATAAAAGGTTGTATGAAAAGTAAATCAGAAACCCAGCATGGTAGAGCACACCTGTAATCCCAGCACTTGGGAAGTTGAGGCAGGAGGAGCCTGAGTTCAAGGTGAGACTGGGCTACATAGCAAGACCCTGTCTTAAGGGGGAAAAAAAGTTGATGAGAAATAATAAAATTAGATAAGACCATACTATCTTATTTTATATTATTGATATCAGTTATGTCAGACATACTGTTAAACAAAGGCAATGCAGTAGAAAATATTTTTGAGCCTATCTGAATCTGTACTAGGTTCTTAGGAATGGCTCTGAAATGACCTGGAATGTTCTAAAGGTTTCAAAAGGAAAAAAAGCTATCATTTATGTATGATTTTGTCTAAGAAATTTTTTTTAAATCAACTTTTCATTGTAAAAGAGCTAAAACGTTTCAATCTAAATAGGTATTTATCAGTTTCCAGAGAAACTGATATAAAATTGTCTGCAATAAAGATATTAAAGGCAAACTTTCAGTTTGTCTATACTTTACATTTGGTGTTCTGACCTTGTTTCTATGACAACTTAAGACTAGCCAAATGCTGGGCTGGAGACCTGGTTCAAGTGGTAGAGCACCTGCCTGGCAAGTGCTAAGCTCTGAGTTCAAAACCCTGTATCGTACAGTCGAATGCTGAAATTGAGGTTTCTCTTGTAACTTTATTGGACGCCAGAAAATTTAGCTAAAACTTGGGACTCACCACTGTGCTATATATAAATTTAATTTTAAAAGAAGTGAACTGAAAATTTATTTAACTGACATGTTAACAAATATGAAGTGGTAAATTCCATGCTCCTCAACTCTTTTCAGCTTTTCTGACTTAAGACTCCTTACTATAGTCCTTTGCTTACCTGCCCTCCTGCCTGCTTCTCCTCATGCTCCTTTGTGCAGGGCATTCTCAGCTTCAATTCATGATTACCAGAACAAACCTATTTACTATTCAGGCAGTTATCTATTCTTATCCACTAAAATGAATACACAGACATAACAAAGGTAAACGTTGCCTGAGTTGAAACAGAAGTAAGACGGGAGTAAGTCCCGAGAGATAGGTCTACTTTATGGTAATATGTAAGATGAATTCAGAGAAGTTCTTCTTAAGAACAGAACATAGCCTATCTACCACCTCCATGTTAGAACCTTAGTCTTCCATTCAGAAGCTGTTTTACAGCTTCATGTCCTGTCTTCATTTCTTCAACAGCAATACAGGGAGAACATACCAGGCTTCCTTTGTATTTGAGCCAAATGGGCCTCTCACCCAAAAAGGAGGCTTACCTTACAACACCAAGCAGAACAGAAATTTTCACAAGTGTATGTCTTGTGTTTAAAGGTACAATTAATTTACACAGTTGTTCCTTTTTTCACAATTTTTGTATATTCTGAATACAAACTCAGGTCCATCAAAAAGCTTAATTATCCTAACACAAAGACTCAAAGGGGCCAGGTGCTGTGGCTTGCGCTGTAATCCCAATTATTTGGGAAGCAGAAATCAGGAAAGACTGAGGTTTGAGGCCAGCCTGAGCAGAAAGTTAGTGAAACTCTCCATGTCAACCAAAAAGCCAGGTGTTGGGAGTATGCAGTTTTTATACAGCCTGTAATCCTAGCTCTGCGGGAGGCTATAGTTAGGAGGATGGCTGTCCTGGCCGACCCTGGTCAAAAACCTGAGACCCCCCCACCTGAAAAATAAAACTAAAGGAAGGGGAAAAAAAAAAAGACACTAAAGTTCAACTAGAGTTCAAGTAGAACTCTGACATTTCTCCTACAGTAACCTCTGGAATGTAAATGAAACACATTTTATGATACAATGCTTCCCACTTCAAAGGACTACGTTGTTATCCAGAATTATTTTTACCTAGATTCGCAGGTTTCCAAAATTCCGAGGGAGAAAAAAATCAAACGTTTCTCCATTCGCCTCCCTCCCACCCCCCCTTCCAGCGGTTTAAAGTCATTAGAACTTTCTTTAACCTCAACACTCCACTGGGGAAGGGCGGGGCTGGAAAGGGAGCCATGGAAACCGGCAGCGGCTGGCATTTTCGCTCCCAAACCTTTGCATTAAAGCCTAAATGCAGGTTTTGGTTTCCTTTGAAACGTTTGACCAACATCTCATGAAGCACCTCTGCTTTAGAACAGGCAAGGTAAATGAAGTCTTACGTGAGGGACACCAGGGCTGTAAATGTTATTTCTCAAAGTGAGAGTTTTGAATTAATCGGAACTCCCTGGGTAAACTCCTTCGGGTTAAAAAACATCCAACTTTCCCGCGGCCCTGGCAGTAACATTTGACACCTTTCACAGTTATTTTAAGGCCCCTCCCCCCAATTTTCTTCCCTTCTGTGTTCAAATCGTAGTTAGAAGGAATAAAGCTGCTACTATCCGAACGACTTAAAAAAAGCCTACTTAAGAGTATCCTATAAGTTCCTATGGCAACCTCTATCTGAATTTAAGTAAGAAATCCTCAAACGTTTGGGTGTGAATTCGAGGGTCGGTAACCTTAACCGGTGAGAGGAAGGGAACTTGTCTCTTTCACCTCTACCATCCGATAGGGAAGGAAAGGGAATGAGATGGACACTCCGAAGTTGAGCTATCTACTTCCACTGACAAAAAGGAACATACCAAGGGGAAAAAAAAGTCCTGAGAAAGTCCAACGGGACGATGCACAGGGCTACAAACAGGAAGCGGCGCGGACTGGAGGGTCCCAGTCGGGACCGGGGATGTAAGAAGGCGGCGTTAGTTGGGAGGGAAAGAAACTGGCCAGACGCGGCAGGGACAGAATAAGGGGTGGGGACGCGAGCCAGAGTCAGCCTTCATCCCCGGTGCCCAGCCCTGGGAACGTCGGCTCCCGGCAGGAAGGAGCTCCAGGCGGCGGCTGCCTCCCAGGGGACCCGGGGGGGGGTGGGAGGGGAGAGGCGGTGGCGACGGCCAGAGGTGCACCCGCCCCCTCCTCACCGTCCGGCATCTCCCGGTCGCTGATGTGCTGCAGGTGGTGGCCCTCGCCAGCTCCGAAATCCAACTCGGCGGGCTCCACGGTATCGGGCGACGGCGCTACCGCCACCGCGTCCCCTGCCGCCGCCTCGTAGATGTCAGATGCATAGTCCGCCTCCGCCGGCCCCGCGCGCCGGCCCAGTTTGGGGCTGGCATTGGGGGACACGCAACAGGTCAGCGTGTTCCCCATCGGGCGCCTCCGCCGCTCTCCGCCGCTGCCTGCGCCTTCGCCCGCCCCCGACTCCGCTGTGCTCAGCAGCCGCCCCCTCCCCCAACAATGGCGCGGCCAGCCCCGGGCTATGCCGGGGCTGCGCCGCGCCTGCAGTCGCGGCCTCGACCGCTGTTCGCTTGCCCGCTGCCGCCCGGCCGGGGCAGGGCTCCGGCCTCGGCCGCACCCCCGCCAACACGCCGCCGCCGCCTCCCCCGAGCCGACTTGCCTGCGAGGGCGGCGACCAGCCCGGCTTATTTAAAAGGGGTGGGGACCAGACCAGCGCTAACAGACGCAGCCACTGCCGGCCGAGAGCGCGGTCAGAGCTCCTCCTCCTTCCGCCGCCGCCTCCCGACTGAAGGCCGCTAACCGGAACGCGTTCTGAGATCACCTGGGTTTCCAGGAACCAATCGCGTTCTGAGTTGCCTCCACGCGCCCGCCCCCGAGCCCCGGCACGTGACTCACAATGCCCCGCCCCGCCCCTCGCGCCGCGCGGCCAGGGTTCGGGTTTCCATTCATCGCTGGCTGCTGCGGAGCGGCGCGAGAGCGGCGAGCTTGTGCCTCCCCTCGCTGTCCTGGTACCCAGGCTCTGCACAGAGCCCCTGGTAGCCAGGAACTGCTTCTTTTAGCAGCTCGATTCCTCCAAGTCTGAGAGCGTTCATGTGCTCACTGAACTGTTACCCGAATTGTACACCGTTTTCTGTAACTAAGTAACTCCTGGCTTCCAACAGTGTTAAGCTTCCGCCTACATCTTGACCATAGCCATCCCCCGGGGCTCTGGTCCCACTCTCAGTAAAGAGTTGTGATTGTGTTTTGAATGAGACCCGAGGACACGTCAGCTCTGCACTTCCTCGTCCGTAGGAGACTGACCGAGCTGGTCCCTCCCAGTCTGAAACGCTGGAAGGCACCACGTCCCTATTCTCTCCTGCTTCTTCCAGATTTTCCTTCTTTTACTAACAACACAAAGCACAATTTGAAGACCATAAAGTAGGGCCCTGAATCCGTGGAGATGAGAGGGAACCGTTGACATTTAGCAAGCACTTATATGGCAGATACTTTTCCGAGTGAGGTTCTTAATCCACCGAAGCAATCCTATTTTTTTATTTTACAGATTTTACGGGGGTGGGGGAGAGGGGAAATTGAGATGAAGTTAAGTAACTTCCCAGGGTGACATAACTGCTCAAGGCTGGACCAGGATAAGTCTGCATCCCAGGTAATTCGAATCCCCACACGCACACATCATTATCTAAAAGTCAAGGTAGAGGTCAAATGTCAGGAAAGTGACAGTGAATGTTAGAGGGTTTGTTTTTGCTTTTTTAAGGAAAAATAATCTTTTCATGAACATTTTAAAAGGCCTTCCTTGCAGTCAGCTTTGATTAAGTCACTCCTATGTGCCAGGTATGGTATATGTGAAAAAGTCTCAACCCTCAGTGAATACAGGCAGATGAGAAAACAAAGATTTAGAGAGCCCAGTTGTCTGAGGTCACACTGCTGGGCCATGCTTGAACGTGGGATGCAAGTCCAGAGCTATCTGACCCCAGAGGAAATGCTGGAGTTAAGAGTTTGGATTTAGCTGGGCACCGATTTCTCACGCCCATAATGCTAACTAATTCAGGAAGCAGAGATCAGGAAGATGTTAGTTCGAAGCCAGCACCAGACAAATAGTTCCACAGTCGCTATCTCGAAAAACCCCAGCACAAAAAAGATCTAGTGGAGTGGCTCAAGCGGTAAGGGCACCTGCCTACCACTTGTGAGACCCTGAGTTCAAACCTCGATGCCGCCAAAATAAAGTTTAAAAAGAGTTTGGATTTTCCCTGAAAATAGAGTCACAGACCTCTCACTTGATATTGAGAAGTTTGTTAGATGCATTGTGGCTAGGTTCCACTCTGGGCAATAAAGGGGAATGGGAGGAAGTAAGAGGACTGGCGAAGACACTATATTCACTAAGAAAGGGGAGAGGACACAGAGGAGAGAAAGGACCTTCTCCAGGAAAGAAAGTATTTGGGGTTTGGATCTGGAGGAAGAGGGGGAAATAGGAGGCAAAAAAAAAAAAAAATTGCTAAGCTTCTGACCTGGGGGATGCAGTAAATAACAATGTCTTCCTCCTAGACAGAAGGAAGAGGGATAAGTTTGGGAAAGAAGATAGTTTTTGACTTGTTTAAGTGGCATATGGAAATGGGACGAGAGTTGGATGTAAACCTCTGTAGGCTGTCCTTTTTGTAATATTCCAACTTATGCTTGCAAAAAGAACACACATAATAAAGCCAACCAAAAAAAGTACTAAATTGGGGAAATTTCCTAAAATTTACATGCTAAGAGTATTACACTTGTTTTAGTGATTACTTTCACTGAACAACTTGGAATCTATGGTTTTAAAAAATGAGGAATCTTGTGTAAAATAAAATTGTTAAAATGAAAACAGTTCAAGTTGTATTGTCAAATCACAGAATATAGAAAATAACTAAAGTGCTTAGAGAAAAAGGGAGAATTAATGGAATAAGTTCCCTAGGAAGGCAGAAGTGAGTGCAACTCAGAGCAGGGACAGGTTAACTTTGGATACAAAGGAAAGGAGGGAAAAAGACCCATGTGACCACAGAGACATTTCTGGTGAAGAAGAAGTTTAGGAAGAGTCCCCTTGAAGACCTCTATATTTCTCCATTTTAATAGGCTTGTATTTGGAAAATCACTCTGGGAGAGGGAGTTATGTATAGAACTCTACACTTCAAAAAACCCTCAATGTGATCTCCCATGCTCATGGATTGGTAGAATCAACAGAGTAAAAATGTTGATACTCCCCAAAGTAATCTACATGTTTAATGCAATTCCCATCAAAATTCCAATGACATTCATTAAAGAGATTGAAAAATCTACTGTTAAATTTATATGGAAACACAAGAGGCCACGAATAGCCAAGGCAATACTCAGTCAAAAGAACAATGCTGGAGGTATCACAATACCTGACTTCAAACTATATTACAAAGCAATAACAATAAAAACAGCATGGTACTGGCACAAAAACAGACATGAAGACCAGTGGAACAGAATAGAGGATCCAGATATGAAGCCACACAACTGTAAGCAACTTATCTTTGACAAAGGAGCTAAAAATAATGATGGAGAAATAGCAGCCTCTTCAACAAAAACTGCTGGAGAAACTGGTTAGCAGTCTGCAAAAAACTGAAACTAGATCCATGTATATCACCCTATACCAAGATTAACTCAAAATGGATCAAGGATCTTAATATCAGACCCCAAACTCTTAAGTTGATACAAGAAAGAGTAGGAAATACTCTGGAGTTAGTAGGTATAGGTAAGAACTTTCTCAATGAAACCCCAGCAGCACAGCAACTAAGAGATAGCATAGATAAATGGGACCTCATAAAACTAAAAAGCTTCTGTTCATCAAAAGAAATGGTCTCTAAACTGAAGAGAACACCCACAGAGTGGGAGAAAATATTTGCCAACATACATCAGACAAAGGACTGATAACCAGAATATATAGGGAACTTAAAAAACTAAATTTCCCAAAACTAATGAACCAATAAAGAAATGGGCAAGTGAACTAAACAGAACTTTCTCAAAAGAAGAAATTCAAATGGCCAGAAAACACATGAAAAAATGCTCACCATCTCTAGCAATAAAGGAAATGCAAATTAAACCACACTAAGATTCCACCTCACCCCTGTTAGAATAGCCATCATCAGCAAACCACCACAACAGGTGTTGGCGAGGATGCGGGGAAAAAGGAACCCTCTTACACTGTTGGTGGGAATGTAGACTAGTACAACCACTCTGGAAAAAAATTTGGAGGCTACTTAAAAAGCTGGACATCGATCTACCATTTGATCCAGCAATACCACTCTTGGGGATATACCCAAAAGACTGTTACTCCAGAGGCACCTGCACATCCATGTTTATTGCGGCACTATTCACAATAGCCAAGTTATGGAAACAGCCAAGATGCCCCACACTGACGAATGGATTAAGAAAATGTGGTATCTATACACAATGGAATTTTATGCAGCCATGAAGAAGAACGAAATGTTATCATTCGCTGGTAAATGGATGGAATTGGAGAACATCATTCTGAGTGAGGTTAGCCTGGCCCAAAAGACCAAAAATCGTATGTTCTCCCTCATATGTGGACATTAGATCAAGGGCAAACACAACAAGGGGATTGGACTATGAGCACATGATAAAAGCGAGAGCACACAAGGGAGGGGTGAGGATAGGTAAGACACCTAAAAAACTAGCTAGCATTTGTTGCCCTTAACGCAGAGAAACTAAAGCAGATACCTTAAAGCAACTGAGGCCAATAGGAAAAGGGGAACAGGACTAGAGAAAAGGTTAGATCAAAAAGAATTAACCTAGAAGGTAACACCCACGCACAGGAAATCAATGTGAGTCAATGCCCTGTATAGCTATCCTTATCTCAACCAGCAAAAACCCTTGTTCCTTCCTATTATTGCTTATACTCTCTCTACGAACAAAATTAGAAATAAGGGCAAAATATTTCTGCTGGGTATTGAGGGGGGGAGGGAGGGGGAGTGGGTGGTAAGGGAGGGGGTGGGGACAGGGGGGAGAAATGAACCAAAGCCTTGTATGCACATATGAATAATAAAAGAAAGAATAAAAGAAAAAAAAAAAACCCTCAATGTG